TTTTTTTTTTTTTTTTTGTACTGGGGATCGAACTTGGGTCCTTGCACTTGCAAGGCAACACTGAGCTAAATCCCTGGCCCTTGGGCTCAGATATTGAAGGGAAGATTCCAAAAGTTTGCAGAGCCCACGTGCCTCTGGCTTTTCCCTCTCCTGGGTTACTACTAAAGCAAGGGGGAGTTACTTGAATCCAGAAGAGAAACGCTTCTGAAGGTAACTTGCGTGGAGGCACGCTTGCAGCCATTAAGCAGTGCATCTTGTTCTCAGAGCTGCAGAAACCAACAGTCTTGCTAGATATTTCAAGGCAGCCTAGTCAGGTTTGACATTTTTTAGGTTGGTAGTGAGATCAGTACTCTTTTGTGAATGAACTAAGAATCTATTCAGGTCTAAATGGAACACTCTTGGCCTCTCGAATCCTCCCTTCTCCGGTGTAGCTGCTGGGCAGAGTACCATGTGCAACCTCCAGTGTGGGAGAACAGGGTGATGCTGACACTTTCAGTAGTGAAAATATGCTTCTTGATTGTTGAATTGTGGCCACACATTTATCCCTATTGTTGATCCTTCCAAACATCCTTGGTCCCAAAAAGACAGGTTTCTACAGTATTGTAAAACGTGTCATGTTCAAAACAGGAAGAAGACAAGTCCCAGAGCTTTGCTTCTCTGCATTCAATAGGCTGTATGTTATTCCTAATGTAGCGGCTGAAGTCTTTTTTTAAATTTATGAGCTACCATTTAGGTGAGAATGAAATTGTTAAAATCTTGTGCATTTGAGTCATGTTTATGTACTGGTGGTAATAAAACTATCAAGATGAATATAAAGCCCTTCTGCTTTTGTTTTTAAGCACAACACACTGTCTCTCATCTTTAACAAGGCTGTAGGAAAGGCAGAGTTGGAAACACAGGCTTGAGTTCAAATTCCAGACCAACACGTACTTCCTCTGAGAACTCGGCTAAGGTACTTAATTTTCACTGAACTAAGGTTTCTCATCTCTGATATGAGGACAGAAACTACCTTGCTGAGTTCACTGTGATAAGATTCAGAGTTTAGATCAGGATTTAAATATGATTAAGGCTGAGTAAACCTAATCCAAAAATGTGAAATGCTCCTTAATTCAAAACCAATGTGGTGATTTAAGAATTTTTAAATTTTGGAGAATTTCAGATTTCAGATTTTTGGGTTAAGCTCATTAAGTAAAGTCTATACCAATATTTTCAAATTTGAAAAAAACTCTGAAATTTGGAACATTTCTGGTCCCAAGCATTTCAGATAAGAGATAGTCAACCTGCTGGGCGTGGTGATGCACGCCTGTAATCGCAGCACTCGGGAGGCTGATGCAGCAGGATCGCTGTGAGTTCGAGACCAGCCTTGGCTACATAGTGAGCTCCAAGTCAGTCTCAACTACACAGTGAGATCCTGTCTCAAAAAAAAAAACAAAAAAAAAAAAAGAGAGAGAGAGATATTCAACCTGAAGGTAAACAACACTCCTGCCCCCAAGGTAAACAATAGTATTCCCAGCAAATACTCATTAAGTATGTTACATATTCCTATATTCTGGCTACTGTGTTCCAAGCTACCCAATCCTGGGGCTGTGGTTCATATCTGAGTCATTGGAGATATGCATGTTTCTTAGGACAGTTTTTTTTTTCCTCAAAGAAAATAAAATGTTTCGAGCAAAGTTCCCCTTTTAAAGATTAACACAAAGGAATCATTTAGACTGGCAAAGGCTGGGTCCACGGCCATGACAAAAATTAGAAGAGGAAAAAGCAACCCAAAAACTGAAAAACATCTCACTGCTGGACACTTGCATAGAGTCTTTAAAAAGCAAGTGTTTTTGAGGTTGAGGAAGGAGGAGCAAATATTCCTTACAGAATGAGTTACTCAATCTCAGCCACAGTAGTGGCTTGAAAGCATCAAGTTCTTTGATGTATCTCCCTTTAAAATATGGGGCCTCCCTACCCTGTGTGTAAATTGCATTTAGTAATCCATTTCTAATGGATTGAATGTAACAGAGGTGTGTGACTCAGGACACTGGATTGAAAAAGGCACTGTGGCTTTCTCTTTAGCTTGCTCTGATTACTCCTTCTGGGAGAAGCCAGATACCTCTACAGAGGCACATGTTAGGCAACTTCTAAAGAGAGGCACATGTTTTGAGAAACTAAGTCACCTTGGAAGGTTTCCTCTTCTCTTGTAGAGTCTATGCAGCCCTGTCTATCATCTTGTTGGCAGCTTCATGAGATATTGCAATGAAAAACATTCAGTTAAGCCCCTCCAAGGTTCTTGACCCACAGAGATAATCAATGTCTATTGGTTTAAGATGCTGAATTTTGGGGGAAGTTTGTGATACAGGGTAAATAAATCATATATGCAGGATAACGTCTTCCTGATGGAAACTTTCCTTTAGGTGGAGCCTGGCTAGGTGACTAAGGTCTGAGAAGGAGATGCCCCACACTCTGTCAAGTTAGAGTTTATCCTATCAGCAACCTATTCAAGTCAGAGGCTGCATTTTACACAGAGGGGTGAGAAGATCAGAATTAAAGTTATCTGTGGCATGAGGGAGTCTGGTTGGAAAGAATGTGGGGACTTCCACTTAGAAAGGTCTAGAAAGACAAGTCCAAGTAAGAGACATTAAGAGCCTATGATAGGGAGGGTGGATATGGAAGGACTCTCTTGAGCTTTAGTGTTTTTCAGAAAAAAATAGCTAGTGTCCAGAGCAATCTAGTACAATCATAATTTCCTATGGATTGTGAGAAAAAGATGTGAACTATAAAACACTATATCCATACTACCACATGTGTACATGTGTAAGTAACCACACTTGCATGAACTAGAATGAGTACTTAGCCAAGACTACTTGACAATTAAGAAATGTCTTTTAGGTTTAATATTGAACATTTGAAATAGTCCTTTATAGAAATTTTAATTCATGAGCCCCACCTCCAAATGAGCTTTCATCTTCCATAGGAACCAAAAGCCTCACATTTCTCCATTGTACAAATAAAGCCACAGGGATTAAATAGAATTAAAGCAGGATGATTTATGGTCCCTTCTGAATATAGGTAACAGATAATATTGAAATACTGTAAGATTCAAACACAGTCTATGACTAAAATAGCACAAGGAGCTTTATTAAATTAGCTGAGAAGTTTTCATCCCCATTAATGATTTGCTTAGGAATATAAAAACATCTACTTTTAGTATTTCAACAGCACCAGAAAGAGACATACATGTAAATGCTAAGCCATAAATGTTTTAAAGGCCATCTTTCTACATAAATTGTGAGAGAAAACTTTAATTTTTTTACGGTTGATGTTTGGATTTTGCACAACTTATTTTCATTGCTTTATGTTGAATGCACTATAACATTACCATTCATAGCTGCATTCCAAAATGTTTCTTCCTGAAACTAGTGTTCTAGTTAGACTAAACATTAATAAAGAACAAGAAGAATTTAAAACTTGTAGAAAAAGTCAAAGAAGTCATAAGAAAAATGTTTTATCAACAGTAATTTGGGAATCATTATCATCGCTTCTAAAAATTATATTTTAAATGATGGTTTCATTTACATTTATATATTATATAGAACCATAGAAAAGATGTGGAAATCATCTTCAAAATATTTGATTTAATAAATACTCACTGAATACTCAATATCCAAATAATATGATAATATGATAGGGCACATCCATTAAGAAGAGTGAAGTTTTTCTCAAAATAAATGGGAAAAATCTAAGCTCTTGAGGCAGAGACTTGTTTACCAGAGAGGTCCAATGCTAACCCAGATACCTGATAAAGGTAGTCATGTAGTCATTCAACAAGTGACGTGGTAAAGTAGGAATGAACAAGTGGACAAATATTCGGATACACATAATGGTCCTGATGCTGGCCTTGTACAAATGAAAACAGAACTAGCCATTCAAAGATATGCCTCCATGGTGAGAACTCATAAATATTTACAACTGAAGAGTCTTGCGGAAGATGTGAAAAATCCTTATGTTTAGGGAGACAAAAATAAAAGAGGTGTGAATTTAGGAGAGGCAGCAGCATATTTTAGGAACCTTGATGAAACTATTTTACCAAAAGCACACTGCTACAGCTACAATTAAGAATACTGCTGTTCAGAATAACAGATATGATGAAAAGCAACTTAATGAAGCAATGTTTCTTCAAGAGTGTGCTTCTGGCCAAGAGGCCTCGGTTAAACTTTCACAGAGGGTGATAAAGAACAAAGAAACCACCACTGCTAGTGCCTGCATCAGAGCTATTTATTAGTATAATTGTTTTTTTTCTTAAAGATTTAATAACAACTGAAGTATGTACAAAGTCTTACAGCATTTACACCATAAAAAATTCCCTATTAATTGACAAAGTCCACTGTGGTGCTACAGAGAACTGAGCATGACAAGAGCAAGGAATCAGACCACTGCATGGTGCCTTCCCTGTTACCACACGGCGCTGTCAGCTCACTGGGAGCTACGGAAACCCACCTGGAGGACAAGTTACTGGGCAAAAAGAAGATAAGGTGATGGGCAGTGCTAGCCACCACGGGGTACAAGAGCTACAGAGTATAGGGTTTCTACAGTTCCCAGAAGTGTAACGAAGAGCCACAGGTTAAGAGAATAACATATGTAGGTCAGCAGAATCACACCACTTAGATGATTCAGGTACCAAATATATTCCCTTTTGAATAGGTGACTCTAGGCTGATATGGCTAGTGTTTCAGTTTTTATTCTTGTCTTCACATAGATGAAACCTATGTAAGCCCCACTGCCTCCCCCAAATAAAACCACAACAAAGAAAGAGAAACAGCGTGAATTAGTAGTTCTTCAGCAAAACCAAAACAATAAACCAGGACAAAAACAAATAAACAAACACAGGAAACATCCTTTAAAGAAAAATAGAAAGGTATTCAGTTTTAGCTTTTGGGTATCCATTTCTGCCCAAAGATTAATACTAGTAGAAATTTCTGAATTACCCTAATCTGAACATCAACACAACTCCCAAATACCCAGACTCCTAGATTTAATCATCCTTAGTTGTATCTGATTGTCTTTCCTTGGGATCAGCATTACATAGAACCATTAACGGCATTGGACACAAAGTGTAGCATTGTTGCCCCAATGACTGCTCCATTAGTGGCAAGAGAAATTTCAACATGTAAACAACCAACATTAGGCCGCCCTTTTATTCCACAGAAAACTCAGATTAATTCTACACTTGGTCAGTCACTATCTGGTGGCAGATCCCCCTTTCCCCACTGTTACGGTCTCACAATTAGACAAAGTGGTTTTATTCAAAAAGATTCTGCTCTCAACTTAAAGGCCAGTTGACAAAACTTTTAATTAAGACACAATAGCGTGGATTATAAAAACACAAGAACCACATAAATATTGAAGAAACTGTATACCATTTTCCATGTAAACAGTTCTGCTTAAGAGCAAAGCCCTAATTAGATTCTGACCTGACCTGTGGCAGATGAGTGTTCAGCCCTCAGTGGCTGTGATGAGGAAGCCAGGCCAGTCGCCATGTTGACAGGCATGCAACTTGAAAACAGTGCACAACAAGCAACACAAAGAGTGGAGAAGCTCACGACACTTCAAGGAGACCTCACAACCTTTACAACTGCATATGCACAGACAGACCCGCCCCTCCCTCCTTTGCACACACTGTGTCTCTTACACATGGGACACCTTCTGTGATTCTCTAGCTTGTTTGATGCTATATAACCACTTGATGATCCTAGCATTTCTTTCAATGGCAGAAATGCCATATGGCACCCGGTCATTGGCACTGTCATCATTTCTAAGGTCACTGTTACTGTCCTGAGACTGTTCACAGTCTGAGCTGATCATGCTTGCACTGCGGAAGTTGAGGGATATGATGTCAGAATTAGCCCTTGCAAAATTTTCCATCCCAAGGTTTTCCAGCTCTTCTGGATCCAGTCCACAGTAGTTGAAGAACCTCTCCACATCTGCGTCCACTCGGAAATACCGGTCACTCAAGTCTGACTTAGACCGCTGAAGGGAAGGTCTCCGGCTGACGCCACAGGCTGGTTCCACCGGCTCGGCTTCGGGAGACTTCATGGCGGAGACCTTGGGCTTGGGAGGCAGAGGGGGCGCGGAGCTGCTGCAGGGGATCGCTTTGAGGGGCTTCACGCTGGTCACTCTGCGGATGTCCGAGGAGCTGTGTGAGACGTGGAGGAAGGAATCAGCTGACTGCTCCAGCAGCCTCCTGCTCACGTGGGAGCTGCTTTCCTGGGGGCTGCTGCGGCCAGGCGTGGGGTACACCTTCAGGGACTCTGCGAAGGAGTGGCGGTGCAGGTCGGTGGCATCTGACCTGTGTGGAGGCCAGTTTCGTGAGCTGTGCTTGTGACCGGAGCCAGAGCTGGAGCCCTCGGAGCTATTGATGATGTTCTTCAGAATCTCGAGCTTGAGGTTCTCCCGCTGCACACCGCTCTCGGTCTTGGCGTGGTTGCTGAACACCTTGAGTGTGGGGCTACCCAGGGCACGCTTGGCGCCTGGGCACACGGGGGGCTTGGCCAGCACGGCGGGCTTCACTGGCTCCTGCTTGGCGTTGATCACCTCCTGGCTCTTGACGTATTTGGCCTTGTCGGCCTCCAGCCTCTCCACGGCGCTGAGTCTTTTAGGATTGGGTTCAGCCTGCCTGCGGAAGTAGTCTGGCCCTTTGTTCAGGATGCGCAGGGGCACGGCCGACGTGAAGGTGCCCGCGGGGCTGACCGGCTTCACCATGCTACCTGTCTGTAGCGTCTCCGTGGGCATGGTGGGCGGTCTTTCCCCGGCAGCCGTGGTGGATGCTCTTCTGGGCGCCTCCCGCCGGCCTGAATAGACACATGTACACGAAGCACAAAGGGCAGCGAGGGATCCTGGAATCGGTGTCAGCAGAAGCAGCGGCAGGGCCTCATCTCACAGCTTTCACCGCCACAGTGGCTTTAATGTACTTTACTCTCCTTCCAGGCGGGACTGCACAAAAAGGCCACAAGCCACAAGTTCTTTCAATCGGCTTCGCTGTCTCCTTTCTTCTCCCTGAAGGCAGTGGGAGTCTCCTCCAGGTCTTTGTGTTCAACTGCAGGCAGAGCTGAAACACAAAACAACCAACCGCGGGTTAGGAGGGGCGGGTGACATCACGGCTCTAGCAACAGAAGAACCCGCAGCGCCGGCACCTCCGCTGCACCTCGGCCCCGCCTCCGCCCTGTCCCGCTGAGCTGAGGCCATTCCTGGTTAACCGAGAAAGGGGCGACCTGAAAGTAGCGCCCAAGCCAGGGCCGAGCCACGCGCTTCGGCCAGATGCGGAGATTTGCGAGAAAGAAAGGGCTGAGGTTTCCCATGCACGCACGAACTCTTCCAGCTGCCTGCCTCCCTATTGGTGAGAACCGCCTCCTGAACACGCCCGGTTGGCACTGCTTTGAACGGAAACCCAGTAAATACTAGTGAATGGAGAGAGGAGGGCTCATCCAAGTTCTGTCGCCCAGCGCATTAAATGCCAACAGCCTTCTTAGGAATCACATGTTTTAAACTGCAGCATGGGTGCTTTATAATATCAGGCTGTCCCTTCTGCAATAAGTGAAACTTTGACTCCTTATTATCAACCTGTCAGTGCCACTTGAAACACTTTTGAATGCTTCAAAACCTGAAAGGATAGGTAAGAGATGGAAGTGGCAGGGAACAGAGGAGAGTTTAATGAAAAGGGCAACCTGCTCCAGTTAATCTCACTTCTGCCAACTAATACAGGGAAAAACATTCTCCTGAAAACCAAGAATGTATATGAAATTTCATTAAATGTTAGCTTACTTTTTCAGTATTAAGGAAACTAGACATACTTGCAGGTGAGCCTTATAATAGGTGATTTGATTATATAGGCTTCATAATTTCTCACACTTAATGAGCAGATATCAAAGGTTTCTTTGTGGTACATGGATTCTCAAATTTCCTAGAGTACTAGGAGCAACACCTTAATGTCATTCATATGCTAGTTTATGATATGCAGAATTTGTGTAACACTTAAGTCTTCATGGGACTTTCCAGAAAACTGGATTGCCAAAACCAAAACCAACCAAACAAAACCCACTATACTCCAAGATTTATCAATATTCCTCATATGAGCCTACTTCACACACAATATAAAGTCACATTTATCCCCAGAACAACTCCAACTCTCATTTCTATTGCTATAGGGGCAGTGACCATTTATCAACCCTTCCGCATTTCAAAGCAACTGGTTAATAACCTTGTCAGTATCTTTGGCTACAACTAGGAATAATAAGAGAGCAGTGTATTTAATTAACATCCAAAGTAACGAATTTACAATATACACAAGGTGATACTGCTATAAAACTATCAGTAAGAAAATGAAGATAGGCATGAAAAAAGGCTTATGTTTTTTCTTTATATAATCTTCTCAAATTCTTTATCTCTAAATATAATGCATCACATTTTTTTGGAGTCAATTTTGGCAATCTGTGAAGGGTTTTGTGCTAGTAAAAATTATTCCTATGCAAAAGTTAAGAAACGCCAAGTCAATTCCTATATAATCATTTCCTTTAATTATGCAGTTCTACTCTGATACCTCAATTTGGTTTAAGAAAACTATCACCTCTCATGAAGATTAAGAGATTGTTTCTCTGAATGTATATGTTGGATGAAATGGCAAGAGGGAGCCCCCAATTCCCTAGAAGAGGTGTCTGCTCATTTACCAACCTGGGTCCACCTCGATGGAAAGATGACCCCAGTTCCCTCTTGGGGGTCATGATTCTGAGAAGGAGGTCATGTTGGGGCTCAGAAAATGATACCCCAAAGTGAAGGTCCTAGCAGCAATTTTTCCCTGAATCTTCTTTCACCATCTTGTCTCTTACCCTCCACTTTCCAAGGTAACAGAAACTAGAGTTCTCCTCCCGGAACAGTTCACAGAAATCAAATTCCTTTTCCCTATTGCAGGCATAAAACCTCTAACTCTTACTCTAATCTTTCCATCTTTCTGAGTAGGAGATAGCCATGAAGAAATGCTTTGATCTACCTTGCTTGATTGTAGGTCTTAAGATTCTCATTCCAGAAAGGGTCCTACCTTGTATCCAGAAGGAAGGAGAATTACATAGTCCAAGAAGAATCTGAACAGACCGGTCTTGTTTGGTTTTCCTGTTTACAAACATTAGGCCAGACCCTTTTTGTCCAAACACATTTCTGTGTGGCTGTCCATACTTCAGAGAATCTAAGTATGGGCAGTTTGCCCTGGGTCTTTGGATCTTCAATCTGAAGGCTCCCATGTCATGCAAAACTATGATTAAGTTAATTTGTTAGGCTTTTTCCTTGTTAATCTATTATTATAGGAGTGTTATTCATAGCTCTATATGATGAGAGAAGGGACAAGCCCCCTTTTTTGCCCCTATAGTAGTACCATCAATACTGGATACTTCTGTAGTTTCCAAAGTACCTCTATGGAGGGGGATAGTGACAGAAGTTTCCAGGACAGAGTGAAAGACAGGACAGAGATCTGTACCTATCAGTTTTCTGTTTAAGGACCAAGCCCAACCTCCAGGGCAGGCAAAGATGACTCAACAAGTAGCAAGAGACAGAGCTTGTATCCTGGGGCATCACTGGTTGGACAAGATTCCTATATTCCCTTGCATTAAAACCATTTGGTGCTAAGTATCTAAGATGAGGGAGTTACTTCCAGTTTCAAAATGGTACACTGGATTATTGGTAAGAGGCTGAAATTTTCTATGGCACCTAGTTTTCCTATTCTGAGGGAAATGTTCTTTGGATGATAAGCTACTGTAGTTATAAGGTAATATCCATTGTCATACAAGTGTTGACCTATGCTTTTCTTCTCACCATTTTCTCTTCCAGAGTTGTCCTACTGGGACCAGAGGTCCAAAACATCACTACTACCAGTCCATCTTTCCTGCATACTTGTTTATATGTTGAGGTGGGTTTGGGTATCCCTCAAAAAACTAAATAAAACTCATTATTTTCAACTCACAAGATTGAAGAGTACCGGTCTATCTTCTGTAAGCATTCCCCAGAAAACCCCTTTTCACATTGCTTTCTTTATTCATGAGTTGACACCCTGGGGATAGCTCCTCTAAGTCCTCCTGTACCTTCCAAGCCAAGAAGCAATTACTACACATAAAACTAGTGTGAAAGGATTACATTAAAAATAGCAATAATTTGTAAGCACTTCACACTTCATTTCCTTTTTACTCCCAAACCTTCCCTTTCTTCTGCTGTCACTTCCAATTTTCCTAATAACTTTTACCATAGCAATGTAAACAACAACAGCAACAACAACAACAACAACATCATATTGGAATAGTCAAAAATGAGAAAAAGCTGTAGAAATATTTGGTGCTATCTAGGATAACGGGCATTTTCAAGGTTTTCTACCTTTTTCAGTCAACAAACTAAACTTACTTAAAAAATAACAAAAGTGCCTTAAGTTGCTCTTTCTTTTACTACTTATTTAATCCTCAGCTTCTATTTTTTTACCTTCAGTGGGTGAACAATACTGGCAAGAAAGTAGCTATACAGCTGGGAGAACTATTATGTGTTTTGCAGTGTAGACTTTATAATGCATAATGAACTTGATGTAGACCACATACATTTGACAAGACCATCCAGATGCAGATGGCCCACTAACCCAGAGCTAATTTCCATGAACAAGGTAGCCATGGAGCCAGTCAGAGAACTCTGTGGGACACAACCCATGACCTCTTGGGCAGCCCCTCCATGGCTGCAGGGCACTGACAGGAGAGTCCAGCCAAAAGCTTTTGGGCCAGAAGGGACTTCATGATGTTTTGGGGAGGAAAATTTTATTTTGATCTCATAAGGTCTTTTTTAGTAGTATTGGGGATAAACTCCTAGCTTGTGCATACTATGCACACACACTAGCACTGAGCTAAACCTCCAGCCTCTATACATCCCTACTTGAGCCCTGACTTAGGACTTTGGATACAGAACACAAACCTGAGAGAGGGAGAATCTTCCACTCATAAACCACATTGGCAATCTCTACCTCAGTTAATGTCCATTTGAAAATTGCATGAAAGGGTAAAAAGGATTTCAGTAAAGAAATCTGGTAGAGACAAGGTACAAAATGGCTTGCTGTATCAGGGCAGTTGTGAATTCAAAAGCAGTCTGGTTGCCTGGGGTGATGCGGGGCAGGAGGGGGTCATGTCACATGGGAGGCGTCTTGGTCTCCATGAGAGGGCTTCTGTCACCTAAGCCAGCTAGGTTCATAAGGATACAAGCACAAGAAAAAGCGTTATCTTTCACTACTCACTGATGGTCTTCTCAAGCCTTAACATGATGGCACATGGCTGGGGATCTTCTGAAAAGGCAAAGTGTGGCTCAGGAGATTTGAGAGAAGTCTCAAATTCTGCATTTCTGAGTAGATTATAAGTGCTGCTGCCATCTTTGTGTAACATTAGGGAGGAAGAAGAAGCCCATGCCTGGACTAGAGAGTACTCTCTAAGAACCTAAAAGCACAGAGGGCATTGAGCAGTTTATTTGTCTCTTAATTGAGCAAAGAATCCAGGGCTCTTTAGGTGCCAATGTTTTAAAAACCAAAGTGCCCTTCATCTTTCTAATTTTCAAATCTCATATTCACCAGCTGCTCACAGGGGTGGTTAGGTAAAGACCAGGATCTGCAGGTGATGTATGACAGTGGGAAAAATTTGCAAGCTTAGAGTAATGGTTGATAGAAAATGATTCTCCATGCATCTAATGGTAAAAATGCTAAAGCCTAAGTTCCTGTAATCTAGGAAATGTGTGCCTCGATGTGCCTGTTCAGTTAGGCAGATGATGGGAATGCCTTTCCTGACCTGGGTCAAGGACCCCCATCTAAGGACTGCCATGGAGATGGTGCTCACTATTGCTCAGAAGCAAATACAGAACTCTAGAGTAGTGCAGAATGTACCTGATGTAGCTCCTGATTTTAAACTTCAATGCCATAAAACACTGTGGTCTAGGTTTAGTCTTCTTTACATGGTGCTTCTGGTATGTAAAAAGAAAATTAGTCTTTTAAAATTTAAGAATGTAAGAAAACCACTGGAGTTGCAGCAAGGACAGTGGGAAATGAACACA